TATTTTTTTGTGTGTTCTTTAAATTCACTGAATTCTTTTATCATGTTTTTAATTGTTCTTTTGAGTTCCATGTCCTGCATTATCTCTAGGGGTTCTCATTGTACTCCTCTAGAGGACTATTGGTATTTGGTGGAGATAGGTTATTTTAGTTTTTCATGTTACTAATTTTTTCTCTTTGATTTTGACATGTGAATTTCTTTTGTAGTTTCTGATTCTTTTGTGAGACTCAAGCCTTCCTTTGTTGAGTTTAGATATGCTTCTTTTTGTAAACTTTATGTGCCTTTGTGGTTTACTTTTTGGGCATGAAAAACTGGTTCCTCTAAGCTTCCGGTTCTCTCTTTTGATTTTATATCGGAATGGCCAGATTGCTTTTGTCTTCAGGATTTCACCGAGGCCCAAGTCAGATGAGGATCAGATGCTCTCAGGCTTTCTCCTAAGGTCTGGACCCCTCCAGGAAAGATGATGTCCTCAGGGATTTTGGTGTTAGACTGGCCTGGGAGCTGGGCCCAGGAAAGATGCTGGTCTAGGGCAGCTGGTGGCTGTCTCACCCAGAGATGCAAATTTAGATGGGGGCAGGAAGAAGCCCCAAGGACTCCTGGGGACTGCAGGGAGGAAATGAGTTAGTCTGGATGCAAAGGAGATGGGGGCAGGAAGAAGCCCCAAGGGCTCCTGGGGACTGCAGGGAGGAAATGGGTTAGTCTGGATGCAAAGAATCAGGAAGCCGCAGGTCCGCCCAGTGCCTAGGAAAGAGGCCGGTGGGTTGTGCATCCTGGGGAAGCAGACGGAGGTCTTTATTATTTTTTTTTAAAGAAAAATTTATACACTTTATTTTATGGGAGTTTTTCTTCATTTCCTTTCTTAAAAACTTTCACTACTGCCACCATAATTTTAATTTCTAGGACCTTGGTTTTGTGTTCTCCTCCCTTCTATGTGGCGGTCTGTTCTCGTATCAGTGGTGGCTCCTCTGAGGTTAGCCATCTGAGGAGGATGTGTGTTCAGGGCTTGGTCCTGAGTACGTTCCCTCCCCTCGTTGTGCTGGGTGGTGTTTGCTCTCTTTTACTACCTTCCTGTCTCTGCTTGTCCTTGGCAGCCTGTCCTGTGTGAGGGTCAAGCACCAGCTGTGAAAGCCCGGATGCTTAGGACAGAACAACAGGAATCGGGTCACGTTCTACACGTTCGTCTGCATTTCATCTCATTTAATTCTCCGTGGTGACCCGGGAGCATCATCACACTCATTATCCCCATTTGACAGATGAGGGAACCGAATCACAAAATGTTGCAGTGCACCTTGACTATGAGTGTCACGAGCTCAGGCGCAGCCTGACCTCATAGCTCCTTCCTTAGCCTCTCTCGGGCTCTTTCTGAACTGAGGATTGGAAGTCAGCAGTGTTGGTGGCATGAGGCTCAGCAGTGTCCCCTGTGAGTCAGTGAGCTCAGCTGCTGACCTGACCGCTGGGGTGAAGGAGAGCTGGGCTCCTGGGTCTCAGGTGGTCTCCACCCGCCTACCACCCTCTGTGCAGAGCCCAGTGTGCTTTATCAGGTCAGTGTGCCTTGAGTGACCATTGCGGACTCCGGCAGGGCCTGGGCTGGCAGTGACTCCGGGTTTGCCTGGGAACCACACATTTGCCCACCTTCTACTGGTCCACTGGAACCACTGGTCCAGAACACTAGTCCAGCTGTCCTGGAACTCACTGTGTAGACCAGTCTGGCATGGAACTCAGAAAGATCCGCCTGCCTCTGCCTCCCAAGTGCTGGGATCAAGGGCGTGTGCCACCATGCCTGGCTGTAATAGTTCCTTTTATAAACTAATTTTTATTTTGTAAAATCGACTTTCTTTTTGCACGTTTATATTTATGCGCTGTGGGTACATGACTGCATGTTTATGAGTTGGGGGCGTTTAAGTGCATGTGGAGGCCAAACACTGATGTCAGTTTTCTTTGATCGCCCTCCATTTAGTTTTTGAGGCAGGTTCTCTCTGAAGCCAGCACTCACGACTTCAGCTGGTCTAGCCGGCCGGCTGGCCTAGGGACCCCTCCGAGTGCTGGGGTTCCAGGAATGCTGTGCCTGCTTGGCTTTTATGTGGAGTCTGGGGATCTGAACTGTGGTCCCTGCACGTGTGCGGTTAGCACTTTGGACTGAGTATCTCCCAGCCCCTGTACAATTAGTGTTTACAGACCAGTGCTTTCTTCACTCTTAAATATTCAGAAGTAAACAAACTATTGTAGGAATTGGAGAAAATTTGGAGAAAGACTTGCATTATCAGGACACATTTTGTTTTAAATAAAACATTTAACCTTTCTGAGAACACAGAAGAGGCCAGCTCCCCCATTGGGTTTGGTGTGTAGGGGTTGCTAGACTCTGGAGTATCTGGGTCACCACTCTGTTCTTCATGCAATCAAATCAGATCTTAGGAGTCTGTGTTAGACAGTGGCTTTTATTTTCAAGCCTTCTGGCACCGTCCCCTCACGTGTTGGGATGTGACCTGTGAAAGTACACAAGAACCTTATTCTGAAAAGTGGAGCACTCAGATTGCTCAAGGACAGCCTTCGTGGATGCTAAAAACAGTTTTTAATTGGCTCTGGAGATTTGTGGGACCTACGTGGACAGCATGGCGTGTTCATGCCGCGTTGTTTGGGGGTCCACCCCATGCTCCATAGCTTTGTGAAAACTGATTGCACAAGGATACTGTTCACTTGAGACAAAAATTAATGTGAATTCCATTTCAGAAGAGCCATCGAGAAAGCACCTGAAAGTTTGGTTCACATTTTGTAAGTGCTGCACAGAGATAGCTTGGTTAGCGCTGATTTTAGAGAAACGGATCTTTGAAAAGTATCACTGGATTGTGAGACTGTGGACTAATGGGGACGGTGCTGCCGCTGTGTTCTGTGCTCCATGGTCCTGGTGGCTCAGTGCTCAGCGCTCTTTACAGCCGCCTGCTTCCTTCTGCTTTCCTTATGGTGTCCCTACTGAGGTTTGGTGAAAGTAAGTTTGCTTGGCTTGGTAGGGGCAGTCTTTGGGATTCTTGGTTTTTGCTGTTCCTTTTGTGACCATCTGTAGAGTTTTCTTGGTGGGCATTTGCTGTTCTTTCCCGAGAAGCAGAACTTGGCTGCTGGGGACCTGAGTCCCTGGAAGTAAATGCCTGCGAACTTGACTTCCGGTGGGCCGAAGTGGGAGACAGCCACTTTCCCGTAATCTAGTGCATCTTACGTTACCGAGTCAAGGAAATTGTAATTTATATTTGGGTCACTCCCTTGTGGAGAGTATAAAATGGAACCATGTACTGTTGAGCATGTGGGGCTTGCTGTGCTCATCAGAACTCGGGCTCCGAGTCGCAGGCCAGGACCTGCCCCCAGAAGTGCTCACTTTAAGGCGCACCACCGATCACGTCCTTCATGGTTTGTGAGTGAGTTTTTCTCCTCTCTTGAAGCCTGGATTCTGAGGTTTGATCCTTCTGTTTTTCATACACACATTTAGGGCAGCACATGCTTTCCACAGCTTGTCTCTCCCCCAGGTCAAAGCCACCCTAGACCTTCGCTCCTCTTCTCTGCCCTCATCTGCCCCCCCCAAGAATCCATGACTTGATTTATCTTGATCAGCCTGGTAACTTGGTCCACATTTTTCCAAAGTGCAAAGCAGTTTCAGCTAAAAATACACATATCAGAGTGCTCCAGAGCTGTGGCCGCGCTCAAAAAGTGCTGATCAACTTTGAAAATCCGAGTCAGCGTCCATAAAGCCCGGGGAAGAACCTCAGTGATGGGACAGATTCCCACAGCCTGGCCACAGCCCTGTTCCTCGCTGGGCTTGTGTGATGTTGCCAGACAGCCAAGGACTAGATGTAAAAAGCAGGAAGCTTTATTGAATTGAGCCCTAGTGCCACTTTGGGCAAAGCAAATTAAAATGTGGAAGAATATTTTCCACTCCTGATGACTTCAACAGAAAATGGGAAAATACATGATGGCTGAAAACGTTAGAGAAATTGCTAATTTTGCCAGAAAGTAAAACCCAGTTACCAAGGGGTGTGTGTGTGTGTGTGCGCGTGTGTGTTAATGCATATATATATATATATATATATATATAGTTTAACTCAAATGCTTTAATTCACAATATTATGCTAGTCTTGAAAATGAGTATAATGCTACTTAGCAAAACCTGAAGAACAACCCAGCAGCTCATGGGATCATCCATGCAATACCTAGGGCTGATCTGGCCCGTGCTGTGTGGTCTGCTCAGGCTCTCCTCTTGTGTTTCAGGTGCTGCTTAAAGAATGGACGATGACGAGTTTGGTGGTTTTGAGGTACGTATTGCTTTTAACCTCAGGGTTGTGGTCAACTATGATGGAGATGTGTTTGCTTTCATTATGTTTATGATCTATTCTGTGCGTGTGTGTGTACAGTGTATGCATATGGCTCATGTGTGTGGGTTCACCTGTGTGCATGCTTGTAGCGGTCAGAGGACAACCTTTTATGTCTCTCTGTGGAGACCCGTTCACCTTGCTCTTTGGAGACAGGGTTTCTCTCTGGCCTGGAATTCATCAAGTAGACCAGGCTGGTCAGTGAGCCTCAGGGATCTGCCTGTCTCAGCCTCCACAGTGCTGGGATAACACGTGCACAGTGCCACTATGTCCAGATTTTTAAAAATGGATCCCGGGGCTCAAACTCACGTCCTTGTGCTCACAAGGCAAGCACCTTGCCAACTGAGCTCTTGCCCCTGCCCTCGTTCTATTAATGTAACTGAAGTAAAGCTTGAAATCAGGAAAATGAAAGAGCATCATCCCTCTGAAAGTTGAAAGGGATTATTACTGTTAAAGCTTTGGTTCTGCCATGGGAATGGTTTCAAGTGGAGTAATTCAGTGGGACTCGTGGGAGTACAAAGGCCAGCTTAGAGATTGTTGGCAGAGGTCGGGGCAGGGGACGTGTCTGTTAGGGAGCTCTGGTGAGGTGAGGGATTGGAGCTGGTGAACCCCTCAGAGTGGCCTGCTCCCCCCTGAGAAGAGTGGATTCCTGTGTGGAGCACTTTGACTTCTGCTGTCCCTGAGGCGAGTTGGTGTGATTGTTGACTCCCCGGGTTTGGGGACGTTTATAAGTGGAAACTGTTAACTGAAAAGCAGTGTCTCTGCCTTAATCCTCTCTAGTGTGTGTTCGACTTAGTTAACTGTTTTATAACCCAGTTATTTCTGTGGAGCCAGCACAGTTCTGCAGGAAGATCCCTGGATTGAGTCAGGATGGCAGAGCTCAAGTTCTGGAAGCACCGTCAAGTGAGCACAGAGGGTTTCCTTTGTTTTTCTTTTTTCAGTAAGATGTTCACCTACTTTGGATTCGGTAAAAAGGGATTGTAAAATTAGGGAATGTAGTTAACGTTAATGGGGAGGTGGGACATTATTTTAGTGTGCTCGTGGGGGGGTGTCAGGTTGTTTTCTGTTTTATCTTTCATAGTTGCCGGTGTGCAGGGAAGCAGTGTGGACATACATGTTGTCCATGTGTAGGTGGGCATGTGAATGTGCATGTGATCCATGTGCAGGGAGGCAGTGTGTACATACATGTTGTCCATGTGCAGGGACGCAGTGTAGACATATATATGTTCATGTGCAGAGAAGCATTGTAGACATACATGTCCATGGCAGGGAGGCAGTATGGACATATGTTGTCTATGGTAGGGAGGCAGTGTGGCCATATATGTTTTCTATGGCAGGGAGGCAGTGTGGACATACATGTCCATGGCAGGGAGGCAGTGTGGACATACATGTGCATGTGGAGGGACAGCGTAGACATAAGTTGTCCATGTGCAAGGGGGTAGTATAGACATACATGTTGTCCATGTGCAGGCAGCCAGAGTGGGCATACACACCTTACATGTTTCATTATAAGTGGTTCTGTTAGATGTAGCGTGTTTTCTGCATTTTGTTGTGTGCTCTCTGTTTTCCTCGGTGGTCCTTCTACTCTTATTAAGTGCAGCCTTCTGAAAATCCCTTTTATTCTCAGGAAATCTGTGTTTCCCGTTGTCACCTGACTTAACTTAGTGCTTGGAAGCTGTTATTATTTGAAGTCTGCATTCTAGGATTTTTCATGTGCGTAGACTATAACTGGTATGTTGTATGTGGAGAGCCATAGTTGGCTGTCTCCTACACATGGCAGGTGCAGTTCAGTGCCCGTTCCTCATGCTGATCCAGTGCCGTGTAGACACAGTGTGGACAGCTTTCTATCCTGCTGTGATTGCTGGGGTCCCTTGTCTTCCTGTTCTGCCATTGAAGGGAGCCAGAGCCCTGTCCTCCTTGAGGGCCCCGGCCCTCTTGAGTCCAGTGTGCACCTTCATGGCCAGCAGAGAGACCCCCCCAGTCTTGCTCTAGTCATAGATGCCCAGACGTCTCACCTTGCCTGACAGCTTAGCACAGAGCACATGTGAAGTTCCACACCGCGAAATTACGGTTCTGCTTTGAGCAGTGATTTGCGCGCATCCCACATGAGAGTTGGAAAGCTCTGCCCTCTTAAGCTTTGTCTTAAGTGATGCCCCCAAACGTGAGTGCTCAACCCCTGAAGATGTCAGCTCTAGGAATTTTCTCTTGGCTAGTGCTAGTGAGCCCAGAGTAGATTGTGCAGGAAGAGAGGCAAACTTGGTAGTTTAGTGTCCAAGACTCGTGTAAGGAGTTAAAAAAAGTTAGTCTGTTTTTAAAGAAAACGCTTCACATAGGTGAGCAGATGTGGTGAGTTAAGTTAGAGTAGTTGGAGGTACCATAGTTCACAGGTGTGGATGTCACGGAACAGTGAACGCCTCATTGATGTGGGGTGGTTGGGCAAGGAAGGGAACTGCGAACCTGAGGACCGGCCTGCGCGGTGGCGGGAGCTGCTAAGCCCTGGCGTTTAGACAGTTTGAGTGTGGCTGTGACAGAGGCGTGCCTGTGCCTTTGCCCGTGGGGGTGGGGGGTCCGGGGAGTGCGGTGCTTGTTCGCGCCCTCGGAGCTCCATCTTCAGGCTTCTCAGACCGTCTTGCCTTGTTTTCCAGGCGGCAGAGACTTTCGATGCTGGGGACAGCGGAAGCCAGGCGACGTCTCCGGCTGTTCCCTGGGCGGCCTTTCCTGCGGGTACCACAGCCACAGCAGCCTTGCCCTTCTCTTTCTCTCTCTCCGCACCCCCAACTGTTTTTGCCATTTTCAGAAACAGTTTCTCATTTTATTTGGTTTGGTCTTATCTAAAAACTGCAGTGACCTAGGTTGATCCTGAATCGAGCCTTTTTTCTTTCTTTCTTTTCTGTTTTTTGTAAAAAAGTTCGAATTGCATCACACATTGTCTGAGAGCTTGAGGCCTGGTTGTAAAAAGGAGATTAGGATGAAACTAAAGTACAATTTCAATTTGAAGTTGTCTTGTTCATTTTACAGACTTGTGTTGGATAGCTTTAGTGTCAGCTTGACACACGTGGGTTGAGGGAGCCTCAATTAGGGAATTGCCGGTGGCCATGTCTGAGGGGCATCTTCTTGGTTGTTGAGTGGTGTGGGAGGGCCCAGCCCACTGTGGGTGGTGCCACCCTTGGGCAGGTGGGCCTGTGTTGTACAAGAAAGCAGGCTGAGCAGGGGCCAGGGGAGCAAGCCAGTAAGCAGCATTCCTCCATGGCCTGTGCTCCAGCTTCTGCCTCCAGGTTCCTGCCCTGAGTTCCTACCTTGGGCTCCCTGATGATGTAATATAAAATAAACCCTTTCCTCCTCAAGTTGGTACTGGTAAGAGTATTTTGTCGCAGCAACTGAGAAAGTAGAACATTTCAAATGGCAACATCACTGGACTTGCTAACATGAATGGAGAAGTTTCAGAAGGCCCCATCCCTTGTTGAAGAGCTATATGCAAGAGAGAGAGAGAGAGAGAGAGAGAGAGAGAGAGAGAGAGAGAGAGAGAGAATGTGATTTCTCCCCAGGGACTAGGCCTCTGGTAGGTAATCCAGTCCCAAGTGTTAGCTCTAAACACATGTACCTGTGAATAACTCTGAATGAACTCACTGAGGTCTGTGTGCTTGTGTGTGTAATAACTAAAGAGAACAAGAAATTGGGAGGGAGTCGGGGGGCAAGGAGAGTAGAAATGCTGTAAACACAGTACTTACGTATGAAGTAATTAAATAAAGTCCTGCTTAATTAAGAACGTGATTTCTGAGGTATTCATTGACCCCTGTAGTCTTGCAAGAATTTAAAATGTGCACCTGTGTGTCTCTTTGTGATCCATGTTCTGTTGTGCTTCATAGTGACAGTCTGTTGCTTTTGAATTTAAAATGTCAGAAAAAGTATCTGATAGTTGAAGAATCTTGACGACACTGCTCAGACACCCCGTGCTGACCTCTGAACAGTACGGTTCTCAGTTTTCACTTCCTGTACCCACTGATTAAAAAGAAATCATCAGTGCCTGTGATAAAATTGGAAAATAATGTATCATTTCCATTAGAATTTAAATTTACAAGTTTTTTTTTTTTTTTTTTTTTTTTTTTTTTATCTTTTTGAGACAGTGTCTCCCTGTAGCCCCAGCTGGCCTGGAACTCACTTTGTAGACTAGGCTAGCCTTGAACCCACAGAGATCCATCCACCTGCCTCTGCCTCCAGAGTGCTGGGATTAAAGTCGTGTACCACCACCACACCTGGCTTAGAAGTTTCTTGATATTAAGATCATTCAGAAATATTAAAAATTAAAAATTAAATATTAAAAATTAAAAGTAAAGATTAGGCAAGAAATATTTCTGGAGTGTTTAGTATGCTCGCCATCAGAATGCAGATGGAACTACGCTGAGGTTCCTCTCACTCTGGTCAGGACTAGAAAATATAGGAGCAAGTGCCGGGAATTATGGGAGGAAGAGGAGAGCTTGCCACCTCCGGGAATCAGTCTGGAGGTTCCTGAACAGTGAGGTTAGAACCGCTGTATGCCAAGCTGTCACTGCTGAGAATGCCCAGAGAACTCTGAGTCCTGCTGTCAGGACGTGTGCTCATCCAACTCAGCGCTGTCCTGTTCCCAACAGCCAGGAGCTGGAGAAAGCCTAGACAGCTATTGGCAGAAAGTGTGTGCGTACACACAGCGGGATTCTATTTAGTCAAAAGGAAAATGGGATTTTGAAATTTGTAGGAAAATGGATGGAACTGAGAAATTTTCAGTGAAATAACCCCAGCTCAGAGAGAAAGCACCCCCCCCCCCATCTCTGCTGATCACAGCTTCTAATTTCATGTATGTGTGTGTACATGGGACTGAGGGAGCTTAGATGGCCGGGAACTAGAAAGGGGGAAACCACAGGCTTAAAGGGAAGCAGTGGGGCGGGGTACAGGGTACAGAAGGTGGTACTAGAGATGCAGGAGTGGGGGCTGGAGGGAGGGGTGACCAGAGCCTAGCCTGCAGAGTGCCCTGCTGACGTCTGCCACTTTACATGCTAAAATAAAGAAGTAGACAAAATTTAGAATGTGACAGGAACCAGTGGCCTCAGGCTGGGGACACTGGAGCACTTGACTTGGACCTTAGGGCTAGAGTTTGAACCCTACCATCGCCAGGGGGAAAATCATTGTTCCTCAAAATTAAGCCAGACTGGTTTTGGACTAGGAACTTATCCAGAGACTATTTTTAGTCTGTTCTCCTGTTTTTCCAGAATACCAATTAGATTAAAGTGTAAAAAAAAAAAAATGTCATCAGGGGCTAGGAAATGTATGTAGTTCTAGTTAAAAAGCTTGGTGTACTATGCAGGAGGTCCTGGGCTCCACCCCCAACATAGGTGTGCCTAAGCATGTGCACACATACATGCACACACATGAATACACCATTGACGCAATTAAGTAAAACAATAAAGTCCATTATGAGAGATGTTTCTTAGAAGACTGTTCTGTCACCTCGGAGGACAGAACATTTCCCAGCGTGCACTATTCATGTTGATAAAACGTCCAGTAATGCTAGGAACCTTTGGTCCAGTCAGGAGGTGTGACGCTGCCATTTTGTGCAGTGTGGGTGGTGCCGCATTAGAGGCAGAGGACGGCTCACTTTCTGCTTTGGCCTGTACAAATGTAAAATGTCTAGAAGGCGAGGTGGGAGGCAGAACCTTGAATTCTGTCTGTTCCAATAACGTTTCTACGTTCCTCCAGCACTGTGCAGACCACATTAGAATTCAGTGACCATCAAAGGAAAAACAAGTGGTCCAGATAGATACTTTAATTCAAATTAGCTCCTTCAAAACAGCTTACAAAGAGGGCAGACTAAACTGTCACAAGCCGACCCTGTAGCAGGAATAATGGGAATTGGACCAGCAGATGTTGAACCAAGCGACTTAGATGTGGTTGTGCTGCATCTGGAGCTATTTGCATACAAAGCCAACAGGAAAGTCCAAGCATTCCTCCCCAGACCCTGGCAGAGGGGAACCTGGAGGACGGATGCCCTATTGATTTCATGGCTTAGTCTTTCCATTCTGTATCCTCCCAGCCAGGAAAACCTAGGACAACAAATCGGTCATTTCATTAATATCCCATTACTCTCCCTGCTAGCCCTGTTTTTCCAGTAGGATCTGTGTTACACATCCACCGGATCTCAGAACCTGAGTCTACACATTCTTGTTTGAGGAAAAAACTGTTGCCCTGTTTTGCTCGACATGTTCTGTTTGCACTCAGTTATCAGCGTCCCCTGAATTTGCTGGTCTGATGTGTGTTTTAGTAGACAGCCATGGGTGCTGCTTAACGACTGCTTCCCACCCTCTCTGCCCGTGTCAGACTCTGTCAGAGCAGACCCCAGATTTCAGTGTCGCGCTGTAACCTCATTGCTTGATTGGAAGGTTGTCATGGGTCTTCCTCTGGCTAATTGGTTAATTTTCTTCCACGTCTTGGCTGTTAGCACAGCTCTTCATTTTGATCTCTGTGTCAGTTTCTGTAAGACATTCTTAAGATGATAACTCTATCGCTGTACTTTAATGAGTGTTAGTCATTTTAGGGTTCTTAGTGAGTTATGTGGTTCACGTCTCCTCAGTGCCCACACTAGGAGGCACATACGTGATTATGGTTCTGACTTTGAAGATGAGGTTTCTAGTGTGGCTGCTGACTAGTAATGAGTCTTTGTCATTAACCCCTGGAAGCTTCTCTGAAATTCCCTTGGCCAGTATGGAAATGGAGCAGTTGGGTTATACAGGTACTCCTCCTGACTTAGAGCGCTGAGCTTACTGCTTTATTGTTTTTGGTTCAGGTCTGTAATTTGCATAGCTTGCTCTCAGTGTATCCTGGTACCTGATTTTTAACTCTATGTTCCAAGTGACTGGGTGCTAATTTCATGTTACATTGCTTCTAGAAGCAGAGGCTGGCACTTAGAATGCCAGGGCAGCCATGGGGGTCTAACACTGTAATTTCCATGTCTGGCCTAAAGTCATTGGTGTGGAGGCTAGAGACAGTCCATTTTCTGTGGTGGGGGTGCTCAAGGAACGATGTAGAGGCTGGCGGAAGACTGGGGTTGCCAGGCCCTGGGGTCGGCAGCCCTCAGGTTGGTACTTCCTCCCTCCTTTGCCTGCTGAAATTTCAGCTCACTTTCATCTTGAGGACCTGGTTCCTTGAGGACCACGTGGATGAGGCAGAGTGCATGTCTAGGTCCCAAACTTTTCCTTTGCCCACCTGAGGGCCTACAAGTCAAGCTGAGGTTTACAGATGTTTGCAGCTATCTTTAAGGCAAAAGCCAGCTTCTCTTTGTTAGTTCCTTTACTTGGATTTTATAAATTTTTGCTGAATATTTCTTTTCTGTTTTAGCTTGGCTGATTTAATTGCTTTCAGTGGGTGGCTCAGTCAAGCACCTAGTCTCCTATTTGCTGGAAAAAGAAATTTTAAGTAAAAAAAATAAAAAGAAAAACAGCACTAAGAAATCCCTTATGCTGTTTGCTAGTTGATGCCTAATTTTTTGCTAATTTTGTTAAAGTGAAGACTGTTGTGAATAATGAAGCCTATGGGAGTTTTTCTTGCCAGATTCTGAATGCCTTTCCCTCTCCCAGACCATTGTGTGTCAGTGTCGCCCCTGAGGAATGCCTGTGGCCTCACTGTAAATGGTGCCAGCCCGGCTGGTTTTGGGTCCCTTCCTCTCCTGTGCATGAACTATGCTGATTTGAGTTTAC